TGTCTTTTGGAGAGAAAAGAGAGAGACAGTCTCACTATTAGCTCTGGCTGGCCTTGAACTCACTGTGTACACCAGGTCCGCCTGTAACTCTGCCTGCCTCTGCCTCCTGAGTGCTTTGATTAAAGGTGTGCACCCATAGTCCATCTTAGATCTTTACTTTTTTAATGAATAAAGTTATAAATTATGTGCAGTTGTGCTGGGTGGTAGCGGCACACACCTTTAATCCCACTGCTCAGGAGGCAGAGGGAGGTGGATCTCTGTAAATTTGAGGCCAGCCTGGTCTACAGAGCAGGTACCAGGACAGCCGGGGCTGTTACATAGAGAAACCCTGTCTTGAAAAACCAAGAAAATCAAATTATGTGCAGTTGTTCTTGCCCATTGTGGTTCTTTCAATGAGAATGGCCCCATAGGCTCATGTATTTGAAAGCTTGGTTTCCAACATTGTGATTAAAACACTATGACCAAGGCAACTTATAAAAGAAAGTGTTTAATTGGGGGTGGGGGCTTGCCATTTCAGAGGGACAGAGTCCATCACCACCATGGTGGGAAGCTGTAGCTGAGAGCTTACATCTTTTTTTTTTTTTCCGAGATAGGGTTTCTCTGTATTGCTTTGGAGGTTTATCCTGGCATTCGCTCTGGAGACCAGGCTGGCCTCGAACTCACAGAGATCCACCTGCCTCTGCCTCCCGAGTGCTGGGATTAAAGGCATGCACCACCAACGTCTGGCTGAGAGCTTACATCTTGATCCACAAGCACATGACGCAGAGAGAGAGAGAGAGAGAGAGAGAGAGAGAGAGAGAGAGAGAGAGAGAGAGAGGAGGGGGGGGGGCAGGCAGGGGGGTGAGCCAGCATGCCACCATATATATCCTACAGGAAGAGAGTTGGATTTTAGCCAAAGCCTCCTGGTTTAAAAAACGCTACTCACCTCCCTCCAACCTCCAGCCTCCCCAGGTAAATTCCCCATGTAGAAATAGAATTCCTTCCTCAGGGACTCATTACTTGGGACTATCAGAGGACAGAGGTAAGAATTCTGAGAAACCTCAAAAGTTATTTTCCTAGGTAGAACTGATGGCAAAAGGTGAGAAAATCTAGACCTCGGGTCCCTTCCCCACTGTCAGTCTTGCCACTGAGGATGTAGGAAGTCGGTGTGTCTCCCAAGCTGTGCCCCGCTCTGAGTTGCTGTCCTGGTCCAGCTGTGTGAAATAGTGGCTTTCAGGCCATGTCTTGTCCTGGGGGACACCATTTTACACAGCAGCAGTTCATGTAAGCACTATGTCACCTGTCCTACACAAACCAAGAGGCACAGACTGATAAATTACTCCTACAAGTAAAACAGACACCCCCGCATCCCCATGGAAATAGGGGATATTAAAATATTAAAACCATTAGAAGGGGGCTGGAAAGATGGCTCAGCGGTTAAAAGCTGTAGTCAGAAGTTTCTCTGAAGACCAGGCTGGCCTGGAACTTACAGATCCACCTGCCTCTGCCTCCTGAGTGCTGGGATCAAAGGAAATGATGTGGCATAATGCTCTTGTACACTGTAAAGATTTGTCACTTGTGGGCTGGAGAGATGGCTCAGAGATTAAGAGCACTGACTGCTCTTCCAGAGGTCTTGAGTTCAATTCCCAGCAACCACATGGTGGCTCACAACCATCTGTAAGGAGATCTGGTGCCCTCTTCTGGTGTGCAAATATACATGGAAGCAGAATGTTGTACACATAATAAATAAATAAAAATCTTTAAAAAAAATTTGTCACTTGTATTGGTTTAATAAAACGCTGATTGGCCAGTAGCCAAGCAGGAAGTATAAGTGGGGCTACCAGACTAGGTCGGAAGAGGAAGGCAGAGATGCAGTCGCCAGGCTAGACACAGAGGAAGCAAGATGAGAATGCCTTATTGAGAAAAGGTACCAAGCCATAGATAAGAATTATGGGTTAATTTAAGTCATAAGAACTAGTTAGTAATAAGCTTGAGCAATAGGCCAAACAGTTTATAATTAATATAAGCCTTTGTGTGTTTATTTGGGACTAAACAGCTGTGGGACCAGGTGGGACAAACTTCTATCTACAAAAAGCACTGACTGGCCGAGCATTGGTGGTGCACATCTTTAATCCCAGCACTCGGGAGGCAGAGGCAGGCAGATCTCTGAGTTTCAGGCCAGCCTGGTCTACAGAGCAAGTGCCAGGATAGGCTCCAAAGCCACAGAGAAACCCTGTTTGAAAAGAAAACAAAAAGCACTGGCTGCTCTTTCAGAAGATCCAAGTTTGGTTCCCAGAACCTACATGGCAGCTCACAACTAGCTGTAACTCAAGAGGAATCTGACACCATCTCTGGCCTCCACAGGTACCGCAACATGTGGTGCACAGACATACATGTAAACAAAACACAGAGACATAAAAAATGAAAAGCAAGTCAGGCGTGGTGGCACACACCTTTAATACCATCTACATAGTGAATTCCAGGGAAGCCAGGGCTACATAGTGAGACCCTGTCTCAAAACAAAACCATTAGCGGGTCAGCAGGTAGAGGTACTTGTTCCCAAGCCGAATGAATGGGCAGCATTGGGTCCCTGACACCCACATGGTAGATGGAGAGAAACAACTTCTGCAAGTTGCTCACAGATCTCTACAGAATTCATGTGGCACCGTGTGCACAAGACACACACACAAGCACACACTAGACAAACTGTTTCAGATAGAAAGATCAGGCTCATAAACTTAATGAGTATACCAGACTAAGGAAGAAGAGTACAATCTCCACACACCCACACCCCAACTCACACACACACCCATAAGAGGAAGGACCACCTAACACTGTGACGAAGCCTCAATGGCTGGTCACCTGACCACCAGGTACATGCATCAAGGGACCAATAGTCAGAGAATGTCAGCTCAGCACAGTCCCCGTTAGTTACTGGAGCCCACTTTCTTGGCCATCCGTCTGTCTATATTTCCTTCCATCCATCCACTTTTCCAGATAGTCCTACACCTCCACTTCCCTTCCCTGTGATCCGGTGTCTTCTAGCTCACCCCTGAGGCTCTGCTAGTCTCCAGCAGCTCTTCAGCTGAGTTATTAATATCTAACCACTTACAGTGACTCTTGGTATCTATGTCAGCTCTTGGCCTCCGTGCTCAATAAGGCTCTACAAAAGAAACTATTGACTGCCGACAACAGCCACGGGTGCTATCAAGGGAAACTGGGATTTCTTGGTAAATTACAAGCAATGAAACTGACAAAGCTTGCAAATTTATTGTTTTTTAATGATTCTGACACTCCGATCTATGTTTTTTCCAACATAGCAAAGGAGCGCACATCTTTTTTGGACATTTCTTTTCTCTCCCATTTCCTTAACTTTCAGATGATAACTTCGAGTCGGTGGGCAAAATCCAACCAGAACTAACAAAGAAGATTGGGCTGGGAGCACCAGCGAGGAAAGATGGGGGCCAGTGTACTTCAAGAGACAGAGAAGAGCTGGGGCGGAGTGGTCCTCGCCTTGGGAAGCAGAGGCAGCCTGGTCTACAGAGCTGGTTCCAGGGCAACAAAGGGAAGAAGAGGAGGAGGAAGATGAATCTCTGAAGCACTTCTGCTTTATTTTTATTTTAGCCAGGCATGGTGACACTTATCTTTACTCTCAGCACTTAAGAGGTCGAGGCAGGAAGATCATTGTGAGTTCAGGGCCAGCCTGGTCTACATAGCCAGTTCCAGGCCAGCCAGGGCTCTATCATGAGATCCTGTCTCAAAAACAAAGAAGCAAAAAGTGTCACCCTTTTAGGCTGGAGAGATGGCTCAGAAGTTAAGAGCACTGGCTGCTCTTCCAGAGGACCCAGGTTCAATTCCCAGCACCCACAAGGTGGCTCACAACCAACTATAATTCCAGTTCCAGGTGATCTGATGCCCTTTCCTGGCCTCCACATGTACCAGGCACATACATGATGCAAGACATACAAGCAGGCAAAACATGCATGTAAAATACAATAATAACAAATTTTAAAAGAAAATTTTAGAGCTGGAGAGATGGCTCAGAGGTTAAGAGTACTGGCTGCTTTTCCAGAGGACCTGAGTTCAATTTCCACATCACCGAATCTCACAACTGCCTGCAATCCAGCTTCAAGTGATTTGACACCCTCACACAGACATACATGCAGGCAAAATACCAATATACATAAAATAAATAAACAAATAAAATCATTAATAAATAAGTAAATAAAGGCAGGGTGGTGGTAGCACACACCTTTAATGCCAGCCCTCAGGAGGCAGAGGCAGGCAGGATCTCTGTGAGTTTGAGGCTAGCCTGGTCTACAGAGCAAGTTCCAGGACAGCCAGAGCTGTTAAACAGAGAAACCCCATCCTCAAAAACCTAAATAAATAATTAGATAAAATTATATTTAGTTATTAAAGAAAAATTTTTTTAAAAAAGTACCCTCTTAACCAAACATGGCTGTGAGACCAGGTTTGAGAAGAAAAGACAGGAGTTCAAAACCACCCTCCACTACATAGCAAGTCCAAAGCAAGCCTGAGCTACATGAGATTCTGACCCAACCACCCACCATGCACACACAAACATAGAGTCGCCATTTCCTTGTTTGTTTACTTATTTTGAGGCGTTAAGGAAGCCTGAGCTCTAGTGATTGCCCTGCCTCAGTCGCTGAAGTAACTTTACCTTACAACATCTGCTTACAGCTTCCCAGCAAGGCTGTGCAGAGGAAGAATTCTAACCTTTGTCCCTAGGCCTGGCAGCTTGTCTGGTTAACGATCTCCTAACGATAGCAAAGGGACATACATCTCTCTCCAAACCACCAAGCCTCTCCTCACACCCCCACTCTGTACTGTCACTGTAGACACACTGGAGCATACTGCCAAGTTCCACCTGTACTGGGTTCATTTTTCTGGTCAGATATTTGGCTGCTCTATCTCTAGCAAAAAGGAGTCATGCCAGCCAGAGGTACACTCCTCCCAGGGTCCCCGGTGGCCAGGACAGAGTTGGGGCCACTAATGTCAAGAACCTGAACACTGCATTGTGTCCTCCAGGAGCACCTCCCCCAGCAATGACTTCCTCCTTGGTCCTGGTTTTTTTGTTACTGACTCCAGCCACAGTGGCCAACCTCCAAACTGTTGGTCCATGTCCAGCGTGTTGGGGAGCCACCTCCGACCTGGAGAGCCAGCGGGAGCTGCTTCTTGATTTGGCCAAGAAAAGTATCCTGAACAAGCTGCAGCTTAGCCAGCGCCCCACACTGAGTCGGCCTGTGTCCAGAGCTGCTCTGAAGACTGCACTGCAACGCCTCCGTGGGCCTCGTCAACAGGAAACCCTGATGGAGCATGACCAGACACAAGAATATGATGTCATCAGCTTTGCTGAGACAGGTAGGTCCATGGGCCTGCAGCTCTGACCCCAAACCTCACCCTGCAAAGAGAAAGTCTCCTCCCCAACTTTACTCTGATTGCCTCTCCCAAGTCATCCGGCTCCTGCCTCACACAGTTTGTGCCTGTATCCTGAGGCTTCTTCTGAAGCTGCTTGTCTTTATCCCCTCTTCTTTCTCTCTCTCTCTCTCTCTCTCTCTCCTTTCTGAGGCCATAACCCTCCCAGTGTAAACCTGCCCATTCCCCAAGCCAACGGCTGTGATTTCTCTGGCCCCAGGATCTATCACTTCTATCTCCTCTTCCCATTGATGTAAAAGGAGAAGCAAAACACCAAGATTACAATACCTCTCCATACCTGAGGTTCTCATGTTAGAACCAGGTCAAATAGCACCCAGAAAGAGGTGTGAACAATAAACACTAAAGAAACTCAGGCTTGGGCCAGGTGTGATGGCTCACAACTTTAATCCCAGCACTGGGGAGGTAGAGGCAGGTGGATCTCTGTGAGTTCTAGACCAGCTACACAGAGAAACCCCATCTCAAAAAAGAAAAAGCCGGGTGGTGGTGGCGCATGTCTTTAATCACAGCACTGGGGAGGCAGAAGCAGGCAAGATCGCTGAGTTTGAGTCCAGTCTGGTCTACAGAGTGAGTTCCAGGACAGCCAGGGCTACACAGAGAAGCCCCGTCTCAGAAAGAACAACAAAAGGATAAAAGGTAGAGGAAAGAAAGAATTGCTTCCACAGAGAAGAGCACGAGAGAGAAGATGAGGAAATCTTAGCACTTAGAAGCAAAATGCAAGGTGACTGCAAGTTCCCTTTTAGGTCTGGCCCCTTTCCCTTGGTAGCTGGTACCTACTCTCGGCCTGGAGACCCAGCACAAACTCTGCAGCCATGTAGCCTGGGCTCCCTGCAGAGACATTTCAGCTGAGTGACCTGGGTGGTTAGTTAATTGCCAGTTTTCTCATCAGTAAATGAGGATACTAAGAGCGTGGCTTAGAGATGTAAATGGGTTAATACATATATAAAGTCCTTAAGATGCGAAAAAGTAGGAAGGACGAGCATCCTATCTAGCAAGGATCTCCCCTCTCTGTATCTTCACATGAACGAAAGGAAATGCTCTGTCTGAACAGGACAGGAATAACCTCTCTGAGGCTCCACCCCCATGAACTAAGCTCCACCCCATGACCTAAGCTCCACCCCCATGACCTAATAACTCCCTGAAAGCTCCCCCTCCTAATACTCTCGCCTTGGGATCCAGATTTCAGCACGTTTGTTTTTTTCTTTTTTGAGACAGGGTCTCCTTATGTAGCCCAAGCTGGTTTGAAATTTACAGCATAGCTCAGATTGGCCTACCGCTCCTGACCTTTCTACCTTAGCATCTGAAATGCTGAGATTATCGACCTGTGCCCAGCTTCAACAAACGAATTTTGAGGGGGCAGAAGAAAAAAGAAACTATAACAGCTTTTCTCTGTGAAACTTCTGATCACTCTAGCCCAACCCTCTTTAAACACGGTGGCTGGCCTCCAAGAGGGCAATTGCAGTGTAAACGACTGTCCAGCCTCTGCATACACTTTGTTTACTTTTGTCCCGTGGACAAAGCATGTCACTGCGGCCAAATCCAGAAACTGGGAGGTGGAACTGGATAAAACCATGCAAACCGGCAGGTGTTCGTTGAGGGCTGCCAATATAGCAATCTGCCATAGTCTATCCTCTGGCCCTAATCAATCATTTCCTTCCCCTCGCACATCCAAACACAACCACCCCTCCTGATTCTCCGGTGTCATTTTCCATCCATTATAACCAGAAGTCCATGGTCTCATCACCTAAATGAAGAGTCTAAATCATGAGGCTGCTCAGGTACTTTTCTCCAGGTTCAGGGATCTTTAGTGTTGTCCTAAAACTGGCACATGCTGCCTTATGACAGCTGACGGTGACCATATCTGGGTTCGCATTAGAAGCTTAAAATTGGACCTCATGGAAGAATTTTTCTAGAGAAATTGTTGATCACTGCAAATCAGGGCTTTTAAGGATCCCCCTCCTGGGGACCAGTTGTTCCGTGTTTACTAACACACCACTGCCCATGTCCTAAAAATAAGTTGCATCTTCCCTCTACCCTCCAAATGCAATGTCGAGGCTAAGACAAAGACAGGGTAACCACTACGGACGTTCCCCTTCAGGAGGGTATGGGGGAATGGGTACAGAGCAGTCAGTAATTCGTAAGCACCTCTCTCTCTGATAGATCTTGCTGGCCCCCATCTCATAATCCTCTTTTTTTTTTTTTCTTTTTTGGTATTTTTGAGACAGGGTTTCTCTGTGTGGCCCTGGCCTGCCTCTGCATTTCAGTGCTGGGACTAAAGGTATACACCACCACCACTGGCAAATAATAGGATCTTAATAACCACAGAGTCAAAGGAAAAGGAAGGAAAACTGATTTTATTTTTCAGTCTTTTGTAAAGTCCTTTTAGAAGTATTCTAAGTTCTGCTAGGAAACTGAGAAGGTAGGTGTGTGTGTGTGTGCGTGTGTGTTCTTTTGTTTCTTTGAAGCAGGGCCTCCCTCTGTAGTCCAGACTGTTCCACAACTAAGTGGTTGGCCTCCTACTCACAGCAATCCTCCTGCCTCAGTCTCCCAAATGCTACTAGAATTACAGGTGTGAGTCATTGCTCCTGGCTCTCTGGCTCCCCAACCCCCCTCCAACTCACGTCTCCTGAAATGCCTTATCACAGGAAGTTAAAATAGGATGATTGGCATTTTCAGCTTTCTACCAGGAAATCTCTCCAGCTGAAGTCACAACTTAGAAACGGCTTCTGGCTTCCAAGTTAGTACAGGTGACAGACAGCCCATAACTGGAGCTCCTCTTTCTCCAACTTGCACAGCAGCCTCCTCACTTCCATCTTTGCTAACAGTCTCTTCTCTGTCCTTCCAGACTTTGCCTGCCACTGAGTCCCAAAGTCAATGCTGCAAATTTTAGGTTTGGGTTACAGTGGTAGCACCCCACTTCTGATACACATTTCTTTTCCTGTCACTTGTTAGTATTATTTACCAACAAAAACGGTCTTGCTTCCGCTGCTGCCGCCGCTGCTGCTGCTGCTATGGAAGTTTTTGTTTGTTTGGTTCTGTCAATCACACATAATAGGCAGCTGCTCTATCACTTGAACTACACCTCAGCCCTAACTTAATTTTTTTATATTTTAAAAAATAATTTATTTAAGCCGGGCGTTGGTGGTGCACACCTTTAATCCAGCACTCGGGAGGCAGAGACAGGTGGATCTCTATGAGTTCAAGACCATCCTGGTCTACAAGAGCTAGTAACAGGACAGCCTCCAAAGCCACAGAGAAACCCTGTCTTGGGGCTGGAGAGATGGCTCAGAGGTTAAGAGCGCCAACTGCTTTTCCGGAGGTCCTGAATTCAATTCCCAGCAACTACATGGTGGCTCACAACCATCCATTATGAGATCTGGTGCCCTCTTCTGGTGTGCAGATATCCACTGAAGCAGAATGTTGTATACATAATAAATAAATAAAATCTTTAAAAAAAAAAAAAGGAAACCCTGTCTCGAAAAACCAATAATAATAATAATTTATTTAAATTTATTTCTGTGCATTGGTGTGAAGGTGTCAGATGCAGGGGAACTGGAGTTACAGACAGTTGTGAGCTGCTGTGTGGGTGCTGAGAATTGAACCCATGTTCCCTGGAAGAGCAGCCAGTGCTCTTAACCATGGAGCCATCTCACCAGCCCTACTCTTTTTATATTTTAAACACAGTTGTTTATTTGTTTTTGTCCTATCTTGATTTCTTCAGAGTCTCACTCTGTAGGTGAGGTGGACCTAAAATTTCCAGCAATCCTGGTCCAGCTTCCAAACTATGAGGAATATGTACGCGTGAGCCACCACACTGACGCAGCTTAACAAATTGTCTTAAAACAATTAGGCCATTCTTTGAAAGATTTTGTGTCTTAACTCAGTTTAACTGGGCAACTTTTGTGACCCAGGTGGTATAATTGAGGTCACTCAAGCCACTGTATTTAGCTGAGCGCTAAATGGAACCCAAATGTTTCTGATGGGCTCTCATTCTCCAGATCTCTGTCTCTCCCTCTGCTCTCCGTCCCCTCTCTCCCTCTCCAGGATTTCTCGTCATTTAAAAGTGTCTGGTTCCTAAGAGCACAAGATTTCAGTGTGTGTAAATCATTATCAAACTGCTTGGTAATGTCTCACTGACTAAACCATTGCAAGTCCAGAATCTATATGAGAGTAATGCATAAAATATGAATATTGAAAGGTGCTGGTTATTGGGAACCAATGGTGTAGTAGCCTTTTGTTGTTCTTGGGTTTTGCTTGTTAGATTTCATTTCTATTGTTTTTCTTAATTATATATGGTGTGATGGTGTGTGTCTGTGTGTGGGTATGCACACGTAATTACGTGCAGGTGCACACAGAGGCCATAAGAGTCAGATTCTCTTGGAGCTAGAGTTCCAGATGGTTGTGAGCCACCCAGTGTGGGTGCCAGGATTTGAATGTGAGTCCAGCGGAAGAAGAGTAAATGCTCTTAACCACTGAGCTATTTCTCCAGCACTTGTTTTTGTTTGTTTGTTTGTTTGTTTGTTTAATAGGGTCTCACATGGCCCATGCGGGCCTTGAATTCCCGGGACTCCTGCTTCTACCACCTCTTAGCACTGTGATTTTATGGGTGTGCAACACCACATACTGTTTTATTCAGGCTGGGAATGGAATCCAGGCTCCATGCATGCTGGGCAGGCACTCTCTCAACAGAACTTAGGGATCAATTTCCAGCACTACAAAAATGAAAGGAAAGCTAAACATGGTGGCACTCATCTGTAACACCAGCACTAGGGAGGCAGGGGTTCCTTAGAAAAAGATACCTCCCCAGGTTAGTACCTCGCCGGGTGGCAGTGGCACACACCTTTAATCCCAGCATTCAGGAGGCAGAGACAGGCAGATTTCTGTGAGTTTGAGACCAGCCTGGTCTACAGAGTGAGTTCTAGGAAAACCAGGGCTACACAGAGAAACCCTGTCTTGAAAAGCCAAAAAAGAAGAAAAGAAAAAGGAGGAGGAAGAGGAGAGAGAGAGAGAGAGAGAGAGAGAGAGAGAGAGAGAGAGAGAGAGAGAGAGAGAGAGAGAGAGAGAGAGAGAGAGAGAGAGAGAGAGAGAGAGAGAGAGAGAGAGAGAGGAAAGAAAGAAGAAAGAAAGAAAGAAAGAAAGAAAGAAAGAAAGAAAGGAGAGAAGATACTTCAGTAGGGAAGATGAGAGATGATGGTGAAAGGCTAGTTTGGACTACATGAGCCATGGTCTCAGAAAAGGGAGGAAAAAAAGTATGCTGAGAGCAGAAAGGTAGAAGGCTGCAATTACTTGACTAGGGTTTTTTATGTTCACAGGCCTCTCCAGCGTCAACCAGACTCGTCTTGATTTCCACTTCTCTGACAGAATGGCTGGTGGCATTGAGGTCCGACAGGCCCACCTTATGTTCTTTGTGCAACTCCCTTCCAATGCCACCCAGGCCATGAATATTCGAGTCCTTGTGCTAAGACCATATGATACCAACCTCACCTTGACAAGTCAGTACCCGCTGCAGGTGGACGCAAGTGGCTGGTACCAGCTTCTCCTGGGGCCTGAAGCTCAGGCTGCTTGCAGTCAGGGGCACCTGACTCTGGAACTGGTAACTGAAAGTCAGGCGGCCCACCGTTCAGTCATCCTGGGTGGGTTTTCACACAGGCCCTTCGTGGCAGCCCGGGTAAGAGCCGGGCACAAGCATCGGGTTCACCGACGAGGTATCGACTGCCAGAGAGGGTCCAGGATGTGCTGTCGACAAGAGTTCTTTGTAGACTTCCGGGAGATTGGCTGGCATGACTGGATCATCCAGCCTGAAGGCTATGCCATGAACTTCTGTACTGGGCAGTGCCCACTACATGTGGCAGGCATGCCTGGCATCTCTGCCTCCTTTCACACCGCAGTGCTTAATCTACTCAAAGCCAACACAGCTGCTGGCACCACCGGAGGGGGCTCATGCTGTGTGCCCACAGCTCGGCGTCCTCTGTCTTTGCTCTACTATGACAGGGACAGCAACATTGTCAAAACGGACATACCTGACATGGTGGTAGAGGCCTGTGGGTGCAGTTAGTGTGATATAGGCAGCCTGAGGTAGAGCAGGCAAATATAATCTTACCTGGCCTTCCTCAGAAGGAGAGAGTGACTACATTCCTGCTTCTGTTCACAATGTAACCACCTTCTTTCTAAGCATGCAGACTGCTCTCTGTTGACTCCAAGAGATCTACATCTAAAGAGAGTCACCCATAGCCACCAGCCTCTCTCTCTCCTGGGACATAGTTGACCCAGAACAGCCTCATTCTGAACCCTCGTCCAGGGGCTAATCCACTGCCAACCACAAGCAACATCGTTTTGTTCCCAGCAAAGTCACCCCTCGCTCACCCTTAACCAATGATGTTATCTACTCTGCTTCCTGCCCTGCCAACTGATGGCTCCCACTTCAAGATGACATGCCCTAGCATCTTCCCTTGAGTTCTCTGGTGCTCCAAAGAACCACTTCTTTGGGTTGACCAGATGGCTGTTTTCCAAAGCAAGACCCTTGCCCAAATATCCTACTAATACTGTTTGTGTGGCCTCCAGTGTTCTCTGTCTTCCTCTGCCCATGAGGGCTGTCACACCAGGGCCACATCATCCGAGCTATCCTATCCTCTAACTTCCAGCTGAATTTGACCAAAGGGAGACTCAGGTTGGAGACTAAAGGCTGGGGAGTTACAAGGTCAGAAATCGCCATCAGGCACAAGGTCTCACACCTATAATCACAGAAATTAAGGAAGGTGCTTTCTACAGGTTGAGGTCAGCTAGTTCTAGCCTGGGCTGTACTGCTAAGACCTTGTTGTCACACGAATTAAAAAAAAAAAAAAAAAAAAAACAGAAAAAGATATTGAGGTTTGAGCTGAAAATCAGAGAAAAGCAAAGCGGCCAGCCAACTAGCTCTTACCTCTACCTCAGACTTTGGGGGTGGGGTGATCCTGACTCCATAAATCCTTAGCATGGCTGGAGACTGAATCTCCTAAGACTGAATGCCACATGAGACCCTTTGCTTCTTCCTAATATACCTCTCTAGTGCTGGGATTAAAGGCATGAGCTCTGTTACTCTTTTATGCTGATTCACTCTCGTGTAGCCCAGGGTGGTCTTGTACTCACAGAGATCCATCTGCCTCTGTCTCTTGAGTCCTGGGATTAAAGGTGTGTTCCACCACTTCCCAGCTTCTATGGCTGTGGCTGGCTTTGCATTCTGATCTTCAGTGGCTTTTTTAGATCATAAACAATAAATCACCACACTTTATCACAAAAGGAGAGGAAAGGAAAGGAGAAAAAAATTTTCCTACACCTACTCCCAGCTTGTTTGCAGATTGTGGCTCTGTGTATCCATGGTTGTGCTATGTTCACATGGCTCCAGGTTTTGGGGCTCCGATATCATTATTTCCACATAAAGAATCCAGATGGCTTGCCCCTTTTCTAGTCCCCAGAGTTTGAAGATCCCCCCCCCACCTTTTTATTTCAACTCACTATGTAGAGCAGGCTTGCCTGGAACTCACAGAAATCCTTCACCACCATGTCCAGTCTTGAACATTATTTTTGGTTGGGCCCCTTATCCCTGCCTATGACCCTGTAACTCCTTCACTAAGTCCTCTTGAGGCAGCTCAAAATGTCCTCTGTCTCCTATTGGGATTCTCCCTGACACCCAAGACAATGGGATCCTTCCTCTGCCTTCCCATGATACCCTCCAGCTTGGTTGTTTCAGCCATCTCATACTCCATGCCTCATCCTCCTCCAGGCTGCCTTTCCTTCCGTAATCTTCCTCCATCCTTCCAGAACTATCTTCCAGTGGTGTCATGGCTAATAATGAACTAGCTGTTGCCTGACTCTCATCTCACTCTGTACTCCAAGAGATGAGACAGATCAATAATCAATTACCAAGAAAGCCAACACTGGCCACACAGGGTGGGAGGCAGAGGCATTCTCAGAGCTTGTTTTTGAACTTTGGTTCCCCTCCCTTTCACCCACTCCTAGAGCTTCAACCATGAATCCCACCCGGAAGCTTGAGTCAGGCAAGAAGAGGAGAGCCTAGGATAAAGAGAGGCTAGCGTTTGCTCTAACATCTGGTCCTCTTTAGACCTTTGCCCTTCTTTCGTCACTGTCCCCTCCCTTTGGCTGGACAGCCCTGAACCATGGGGTCGATACCGTCTGCAGCCCAAGGCCAGGTTTGCGCAAAAACCCATGTGTCCTTTGGGTAATGTGATGTCTGTGTTTGCTCAGCATATAATCTCTTCCTACCAGGGTAAGAGGTCCCTGCCATGGAAACGCAGAAGAGAAAACCTGCAAAGGACCTTTTGGGGGGCTGCAAGCCTGAGCTGTGGGGTTTCCTAAGCAGCCTGTGGAAGTCTTCCATCTTTACTTGGGAAGACTAAAGAGGTTTCAGAGTGTCTCTTCCTCTCCCTCTTGTCAGTGTGCCCCACTTTTATCCCTCTCTCAGCTCTATTTTCTTCCCTTATAGTGACAGTTTCAGTGCCCAGGACCAAGACCAAGGTAGGGTACAGTGAAGCATTCACCTGGATGGGCAAAATTTTAAGGTGAAGGCAAACAATTCATCAATGGAGAAAACCATCATTTTAATGAAAGATTTTTCAAACATAGTGAACGCTGAAAATCCACGATGAACAAAACAGCATATTTAAAAATAAACACGGGCTCCATGCTATTCACTTTCTTTTTTCGCTCTGCTTTTTGTTTAAAAGAAGGGGGAGGGGTTAAATGGAAGAACCTGTTATCATCTACACATTTTCTTCCTGAGCCCCCTGCCCCCTGGCTCTAGACTCCTTCAGGCTGTTCTCATTTGGGCAAATAAGTGGCCCTGCTTCTTCTATTTCCTTCCCCACTGTCAAGCCTGTCGCTACCCCCAGCCCCCAGCCAGCTTGGTGGCAAGGCGGGCAGTGCGGCAGATGCCTGGGTATTTATAACCTGGAAGCACTTCTTGGGAAAGTGACTAAGATGCTAAGAGCGTATTTATAGCTAATCTCTGATGTAAGTGTCAGTGGGGAGGTAGGGCCAGGCCAGGCTCAACAGCAAAGGGGTGGGAAAAACGTGAAATCATGGGCACCTGACGAGGAGGGTTCCGGAAAGGTGGCATCAGTGGCTCCTACAGCCACTTCTTCTTGCTACTTCCCCTGAGCCTGATTCCTGGCACAAACAAGTAAGCCCTCCTAGGCACCGCCAGAAATGGGAACTTGCAGTCTCATGATCCAGATCCCCCAGGGGCTATCAGGCTGTCACTCATCTGCAGTGACCAACAGAGAGGGACCGAAAGCTATAGAAAGCAGTGGCCAAAAGTCTTCAATGTGTTTCCGGGCCTGGGGAGAAATGCAAGTGGATATAACTGTCTCCTACTCCTTTCTCCTCCCTCTCCACTCCATGGCACCCTGGATTTCTAGGAAGTCTGGCCTCTATCATCGGGCTCCATCGCCATGTGTCAAAGGTGGCCGGGATGTGGTGCAGAGGTCTTCCTCTGCTGTCTGGCAGTTGTGGAGCAGAGGAACCAGCCCCTTTCCATGGTCTGGGAGGGAAGCAGGATGGTAGGGGAGAACTGGAGGCATTTTCCACGTCTGTCCCCAGGAATCGTGGCTGCTGTGTAGTGGCTGCTGTCCAGTGGCAAGGCACTGCCACATGGTGGACACTGGTGGTACTGAGGCTTGGCTTTCAAAGAACATCCTTTTCCCCTGGCCCAGATCTGGAACACTCCAGGCAGCCCCACCAGCTGAAGAAGAGGAAGATGGGGAGTAGGTGGGGTACTCTAAGTCACACCTCTTTTGTTCTCAGCTTTCTCACTGATGCCTCCCAGCTTCTTAAAGAAACTGTGACCCAAGGAGAAAATCTAGCCAGATGTCACCTGCTTGTATCAGAGGTACAGGGTCACTCCCATTTAAAGTCATGCACCTTAGGGCTGGCTATGTAGCTCAGTGGTAGGGTACTAGCCTAGCATGTGCAAAGCCCTGGTTTCAATTCTCAGCACGGAATAAAAGCCAGGTATGGTGGGCAGTTCTTGCCTTTAATCCCAGCATTCAAGAATAGAAGTAGAAGGTCACCCTTATCAACGTAGGGAATTGAAGGTCATCCTTGGCTACGGAGGGAGTTCAAAATCAGCCTGGAATATAGGGGAGCCTGGCTCAAACAACATCAACAACAAAGTAAAGCAACTCACTATAGTCTTGCCACTAAGGAGACTGAGACAGGAGGCTCACCTACTTATTCCTAGGAGTATTAGCCAGCCTGGCCAACATAGAAACAGTTCATCTCAAAAGACAAAAAATTAAAACAAAACAAAGAAATATTAACAACAATAATAAACCAGTCTGACTGGCATGAAAAAAATCTGGGCAGTATTGGCACACGGCTTTAATACCAATACTCAGGAGGCAGAGTCAAGCAGATCTGAGCCTGAGGCCAACCTGGTCTACAGAATGAGTTCCAGGACAGCTAGGGCTACACAGAGAAACTGTGGGGGGGGGCGGTGGTTAGGGATTGGTGGGGGCAGGGGAGAATGGAGTCAAAGATTGGGGGATGACTCACAAGGCCTGCATTACAGTCTCCAGAGCCCAGGTAGAAATGGGAGCATGAGCTCATGACCCCAGGTTGGGGAGGCACAAAGAGAAGGCAATTCCTGGGATTCGATGGCCAGCCAGCCAAATGAGTTCCAGGCCAATGAGAGACTCTGTCTCAAAAGAGATGAGTCATATTCCTGAGGGTGGCGCCCAGGGCTATCCTCCAGCCTCCACATACATGCTCAAACACACACACACACACACACACACACACACACACACACAGAGCCAGTGAAGAGTGGCTGAACAGCTGGATGAGGAGGAGCTAAGGCTGCTGTGCCTTTCCTAAACTTCCCATTTTCCAACCTTAAACTTCCCATTTTCCAACCACCCTAACAGAGGCCTGGGATGCCTCAGATTTTGCCAACTCCTACAGTTGGCCCTAAAGACAAGTGGTCACTGGGCACAGGCTCTACAGAATGCATGCCCCTCTGCCAGCCTCAATGGACTCTGCCCCGCTGCGCTGTCAGGTTGCATCACTGCCACCCCCACCTCTCTGGGTTTCCCAGACACCACAGAAGCACGTCCTCACCCCTTGCTCTGGCCCTCTCCCAGTTGGACTCTGGGCAGCCAGCACAGGCAGGGTCAAAAGGTAACTTCTATGCCCCGTGGCACTGCCACCTTGGCCTGAGCAAGAGGACTCTAATTTTCCTCTCACCCTATCCCAGGTGCAAAGCTAGAAATGGAGACCAGAATTATTCTGTCCTGGAGATCCCCGGAGAACTGGCACCCATGGCTGCCTCATAAAACTGTTACAGAAGTCATGGGCAAACTGGGAAGACAGGATGTGTTAGGGAGCTGCCCATCCCCACCTGACTCCTATGGAGTCCTTCGTCTGCGTCCCAGACCTTGGGAACTGAGCATATGAAATCTCCCTCTTTCTTGCATCATGTATGTCCACATTGTACTACCCCTCCCCATACCCCACCTCAAGCCATCACCGCCAGATGGTGAAACTTGAGCCCCAGGGGAGACCTCCACGCTCGTGATGGGCAGCACAGCTGGCCAATCCTAAGGTTCAGAGGTTGGGTCTGCTGGCTGACCGCTAGGTGAGGGAGCCCAAGCAGTTGGCTCTAAAGAGGCCCTGCTCAGTGGTCAGTCATGAGCGGTGAGGGTCAAACACAGCTTCCCATGAGATGAACTACTCTCAGGCATCCTGAGACCCAGGCCATCGAGGACACGTAGCTCTGCCCTTTTTATCAAGAGTAGCTGTGACACTGCCGCTGCTGCTGCACCCTCTTTGGCTCATTCAATTGCCATTGGAGGCTCTCAGTTCAGGACCATCTACCCGGAGCATGGGGCTTTCAGATGTCCAGCTCTGGCCGGTGCTATTGTGGGCATTGGCATGGTTGCAGAGTACAAGATCTGCATGCCCGTCCTGTGGGGGCCCGACCCTGGCACCCCAAGGAGAACGCGCTCTGGTTCTAGAGCTAGCCAAGAAGCAAATCCTGGAGGGGCTGCACCTGACCAGCCGTCCCAGAATAACTCGCCCTCTGCCCCAGGCAGCACTAACCAGAGCCCTCCGGAGACTGCAGCCCCGGAACCTGGCTCCTGGCAACCGAGAGGAAGTCATCAGCTTTGCCACCACTGTAGGTGGGTGAGGGGAAGAGACAGGGAAGTGAAGGAAGGAGGAGAGTCCTGCAAGGGAGGCAGGAGGAATGGGGTGTGACAGGAGAAGGAGGAGCTGAGGGCAAGAATGTTTGTGAGCCAGGACAGGCTCTTCCCAGAGATCTGAGTGAGAGACGGACGGTGCTGGGCAGGGTACTGAGCAGAGTGGCAGAAGTGTCCAAGGGAAGCTTTGTCTCTGTTCACATTTTTCTTTTCTTTTCTTTTCTTTTCTTTTCTTTTCTTTTGTTTGAGCAGACAAATCCACTTCAACCTACCGCTGCATGCTCACCTTCCAGCTGTCCCCTCTCCGGTCCCACCACCTGTACCATGCCCGCCTCTGGCTGCATGTGCCCCCGTCCTTCCCTGGCACGCTCTACCTGAGGATCTTCCGTTGCGGCACTAAGAGCTGCCGGGGATACCGCACCTTCCTAGCCGAGCACAGAACGACTTCCTCGGGCTGGCACGCCCTGACTCTGCCCTCTAGCGGCCTGCGGAGTGATGATTCTGGAGTCGTGAAACTCCAGCTGGACTACAGACCCCTGGACCCTAACAGCACGGTCATTCCACTGCCACGCAGACTCTTGGACACAGAGGGACAGCAGCATCCCTTCTTGGAACTTAAGATCCGAGCTAATGAACCCGGAGCAGGCCGGGCTAGGAGGAGGACCCCCACCTGTGCTCCTGAGACCCCCCTATGTTGTAGGAGAGACCACTATGTAGACTTCCAGGAGCTGGGGTGGCGGGACTGGATCCTGCAGCCCGAAGGATACCATCTGAATTATTGCAGCGGGCAGTGCCCGCCACACCTAGCTGGCAGCCCTGGCATTGCTGCCTCCTTCCATTCCGCTGTCTTCAGCCTCCTCAAAGCCAACAACCCCTGGCCTGTGGGTTCTTCCTGCTGTGTCCCCACTGCCCGAAGACCTCTCTCACTCCTCTACCTCGACCATAATGGCAATGTGGTCAAGACCGATGTGCCAGACATGGTAGTCGAGGCCTGTGGCTGCAGCTAGCAAGAGGACCTGGAGGTTTAAGGTTCAAATTGGAGGTTCCCTGGCAAAAGACTCCTGTGTCTGGAAGCTTGAGATTTGCTGACCCACGCAGACATCCTCCAGGCTACCTGGCGGTGTGACTGGGTTTGATTCCCGTGGAAATCAAATGGGCATTTTCTTGCCCTAGATTCCCGTCTATTTCAGGTTGCTGCAAATGTGGACAGATGGGTAAACTGTTTCCTCTCAAGGGGACTGCTTTGGCCAGCACCGTTTTCTACATTGAGCCCTGTTCCAGGACAGCAGGGAATGTCGTGGGAGGGAAAGGAGGAGGCAGGGGAAAATTACTTAGTCTCTTCCCCAGAAAAGAAATCTCTCAAGTGATGGAGCAGGAAGTAGAGGCGCCAGCAGGCTGGGAAAAGACTAAGAAGCGGGCTAAGAACAGGGTCCATTGCCTGATTTGAAGTGAAGTCAAGAGAAAGATGAGCAAGGTGTGCGTGAGTGTGGGAAGGGAGTCGGGGTTAGGAGGGCCTGGAGTTGGGGGTTAGTAAGAAGGGATGCTGGGCTCATGACATCCCCTAGCTTTCCCTCGAGGACAAGATCCAAGTGGAAGACATAATTTATATTTTCTTAATAAAAACGAGAAAGAAAGGCAACAGTGAGTCATGATAGGAGTTGATGTGATGGGCCATAATGAAAGGGTGGTCTGGGTACCTCTGGCAGTTCCCCAAAGCCTCTCAGAGGTTTAGAAACCACTTTCGTAATAATACTAAGATGCTATTTGCCTCTTATTATTTCTACGTTGTACAGTGGGGCCAGGGTGTGGTGCTTTGTACTTATAATTAAAGCATTCATGAGGCTGAGGCAGGAGGATCACCATGAGGCTGAGGCAGGAGGATCACCATGAGTTCAAGATCACCAGAATTCAAGACCATGAATTCTAGGCCAGCCTGGGCTCCTGAGAACCTGCCTTAAAGCAAAAAAACACATTCAGTGGAGTTTTCCAGAGTATGCTAGGTCATACAGCTGATTACATTACTGCAGAGAGGTTAGGAACTTGTCTATTCTTTCCTTCCTCTCCTTTAAAAAATTTTATTTATAGTCTGGACGTGGTGGTGCACACTTTTAATCCCAGCACTTGGGAGGCAGAGGCAGGCAGATCTCTGTGGTTTTGAGGCCAGTTTGATCTACAAAGTGAGTTCCAGGACAGCCAGGGCTGTTATACAGAGAAACTGTATCTCAGAAAACCAAAAAAAGAAGTTTTATTTATTTTTCTTTTATGTGAGTATTTTGCCTGCATATAGTGCAGTGCCCGTGGAGGTCAGGAGAGGGCGCTAGATTCCCTGGAACTGGAGTTACAGACACCGTGTGAGTTGCTGGGTGAATGCTGGGAGCAGAACTCAGGTCCTGAGTAAGAGAAACAAGTGTGTCTCATGGCTGAGCCATCACTCCACCTGCCCCACACACCTTGTTATTGTTGTTTGTTTTTGAAACAGCCCATGCTAGCCTGGACTCTCAATCCTCCTGTCTCAGTGATGAATTTAAAGGTATAAATCATCATACCTGGCAACATGTTCTTTTGTTACCATACTTTTTTGCCTTTATTTTATTTATTTATTTTTGGTTTTTCAAGACAGGGGTTTCTCTGTATTGTTTTGGAGCCTGTCCTGGAACTAGCTCTTGTGGACCAGGCTGGTCTCGAACTCACAGAGATCCGCCTGCCTCTGCCTCCAGAGTGCTGGGATTAAAGGTGTGTGCCACCAACGCCCTGCTATTTGCCTTTAAATGTTAACACAATGCCGACACAAGGAAGTCACACATAAAAGGGCATCAATTATTTTTCTTAAATATTAGAGAAAAGGTACTGGAGACTTGGTTCAGTACCTATGGGACTTGATTTCAACTCCTAGCTCCCATGTCAGGTGGCTCACAAACTACCTGTAACTCCAGCCCTGGAGGATCCAGTGCCTCTGACCTCCAAGGGCACCCACACTCACATTTACATATCCCACAATTAAAAATAAAAATGAGCCGGGTAGTGGTGGCGCACACCTGTAATCCCATCACTCGGGAGGCAGAGGCAGGCGGATCTCTGTGAGTTCGAGGCCAGCCTGGTCTCCTGAGCGAGTACCAGGATAGGCTCCAAAGCTACACAGAGAAACCCTGTCTTGAAAACAAACAAACAAACAAAAAAATTAAGGTAAAGTGTTGATGAGGTGTCTCTGCACATAAAGGCAACTGCTACCAAGCCTGAATACCTGGCTAAACCACAGGTTGGATGGAGAGAACCAATTCCCACAAGCTGTTGTGTGGTTTGAGTGTTGGTTTGAGTGAGATGGCCCCCAGTGGCTTATCTATTTGAATACTTAGTCCCAGTTTGTAGAACTCTTTGGGAAGGATTAGAAGCTGTGTCCTGATGCATTTACCTTAATTGTTCTAGTATTAAAAAACAAAACAAAACAACAACAAGAAACAAAACCAACAACACAAAAATGGGGGAGTCAGAAATTAAGATAAAAACCTGTTAATTCCAAAGAACAGTGGGGGAAGCCATCAGCTGAGCCTGCTCTGTTTCCCAAATGGAAAACCATCGGAATCTCTCCAAGCCCCTTTTATTTCTTCCTGTCCCTCTCTCTCCTTTGGTCCTCCAACATATCTGTGGCTAATTCCAGTCAGCCATTCACTGGCTCTGCCTTCTTATTTAACATTTAACTTTATTAAAAGTCCTGATGGGGGCTGGAGAGATGGCTCAGAGGTTAAGAGCACTTCCAGAGGTCCTGAGTTCAATTCCCACAACCACATGGTGGCTCACAACCATCTGTAATGAGATCTGGTGCCCTCTTCTGGTGTGCAAGCATGCATGCAGATAACTGTATACATAATAAATAAATAAAATCTTTAAAAAGAAAAAGAAATATCTTTTTAAAAAAGTCCTGATGGGGGCTGGAGAGATGGCTCAGAGGTTAAGAGCCCTGGTTGACCTTCCAGAGGTCCTGAGTTCAATTTCCAGCAACCCTATGATGGCTCACAACCATCTGTAATGAGATCTGGTGCCCTCTTCTGGCCTGCAGGTATATACGCAGGCAGAAGATTGTATACATAATAAATAAATATTAAAAGAAAAAAGTCCTGGGGTGCCAGCGGGAACAAATATTACACAATAGTGTCCTTGTGAAAGGAGATGCATCTCTGTGGCAGGCTTTGAGGTTTCAGAAGTGCTTGTCGTTTCCTTTCCCAGTTTGCTCTCTCCTCTCTCCTCTTTGCCTCCTGGTTGTATCTCAAGATGTAATCTCTCAACGACTGCTCCTGCAGCATGCCTGCCTGCCTGCCTGTTCCCATGCTGCCCACCAGGACGGTCATGGGCTCATTCTCTGAAGCTGAGCCCCAAATAAACACTTCCTGTTGTAAGTAGCCTTGGTCTTGCAACAGACAGTATCTAAGCTGGTTTTCTAACAGAACTGAGTCCTCCAAGTTGCCTCCTGACCTGGTGCCCTCTTCTGGCCTGCAGGGGTACATGCAGGCAGAACACCATATATACTACTACCAATAATAATAATAATAATAATAATAATAATAATAATAATAGAATGGTTCCCTCAGCCACTATAGGTCTGAGAAGAGATCTGGAACCAGGGAGATCTCCAGAGACCTACAAGGATGACACGATCTGA